CCCAACTTTCCAGGCTCGGCAGCTAAATAAGACGAAGAGAAACTGTGCAAAAGCGAACAGAAGGCAAGTTCACCAATTAGACAAGGCAGGAGGCTTGTTTCCTGTGCTGTGAGAAAAAGTGCCGGAGCTACCGTTGAAGGTTCAACTCCTTCTCCAGGCGATCTGAGACGAGCCTACAGACGCCACTTCCTGCCAGTTCCTTCCTCTCTGCTGTCATGACCCGACATCGTTCACCGTTCGACCGAAATGTAGACTCAGTGCAACACCTGCATTCTCACCACAGCCGGAGTGTATTTTTGTTTTAGAGGGGGGATCCTGATAATTGTTATGGGGAACAGAAGTTCCTCACGCTGTTCACTTTTCTTTTGCGGCATCTCCATCCTTTTCTCGGCCAACCCATCCAGACGGTTCCTGGGACCGCCCCGAGACAGCCTGTCCTGGCAGCTGCCAGATTCTCCCAGCCGGCGTCTCTACTGGCCGTTCTGAGGCGCCATCTGCATCTCAACCAAGGATGACGCAACAAAGAGGAGTGAGTACACCTCGACCTAGCCGAGGAGTAACTGACGCCGTCAGCTCGAAACTTTAAAGCGCTGGAATTCTTTCTAAAAATCATCATAGGAGTCGTGTTAAAGGGAAAATAACACTTTTTCTACTTTATGCCAAAAAGGACTTGATGGGGAAGCAAGCATGACCAAATATCCATTACATCTGAGCTGAACTTCAATCAAACTGGAGGCCAAGAGGTCCGAGTCAGTTTACTATCCTCGTCCCAGAGGTATTTTAATCCGCCCTCTGAAATTCCCCTCGTCTTGGGTGTGGAAAAAGAAAGCGCATCAATTATTCATGACCGTTATAAATATTTCAAGATATGGACTAATCTAATTGGATTAAAGATGTGTTTAATGAGGCCTTGCGTGTCTAAGAGATGCATATTTTAAAACCTGACCATTTCACCCAGAGTTTAATCAGCGCTGCGATTTGCTCATTTTCTGCACACTTTGTGGCCGCTGAGGCTTAAATGAGAGACGGACGCTTTGGGGCTTTTATGAACTGTAAACAGAAGGAAAACAAATGGATTACAAACATTTAATTTACACCAAATGTACCGTAAATCCTCTAATACAGGCCCGGGCCTGTATTTGACTCAAGCTCATCAAGCTCCAGGCCTTTAATGGAAGGAGGGCCAGAATTAGAGGCAGGTCTCAATTTCTATTTGAGCAAAACGAACTAATGGTTCGCTGGAGTTTTTGAAAATTAAAATTGCGCCCACATTTTCAAAGTTAAACACATTTCTTTTAATAACGGTAGTTTCTGCTTCAGCCCTCTCCCCCCTCCCTCTGCGCAGCGGCCGCAAACTCACTGATGCGCCTGCAGCCTCTCAGAGTTCCTGCTGCTCTAAACATTAAAATAATTATTTCATTTTCTGTTCCTCACTTCTGATTACCTTCAATGGTGTCTGTTTGTTGCAACCACCAGGTACAAAAACTAACTTGTTTTTATTTGACTATTTTTCTGTCCTGCCTGTTTATTATCTTCCTGCATCTCCTCTCAATCCTGAAGAAAAACTGCTACCTGGGTTCATATATATTCACTTATGAGTTACCTTTGAACTGCAGTTCTAAAAGATCTACCGACCACAAAAACAGCGGAGTGCTCGCCGGCCACATCAGTTAGGTGTGTCACCGAGGACAAAACAGGTGATGCGCCATGATCCACAGCAGCGAAACGCATCAGGCACAAATAAAAGAATAAAAGACAGAAAACATAAAAGGAAATGAGCTGACATGAACAATCGCGTGTTAAATTAGTTTTTGAGGTGGCGGCACCTGATTTGATAATGTTACCGTGGCCGTGCTCAGGACGCAGGTGTCTGGAGCGCGTCAACAATCAGAGCTTTGCATGCGCAAGCTGGTTAAGGTTAGGATGGGGGTGAGGGGAAGGTTAAATTGCAAGAGGGTAAACGTCACAATTTGGTTAAATGTCCGTTTTACGGCGGGTGTCAGTACCGACGCTCTGGCACAGCACGTTGCCTCCAGATGCGCAGGAGCTTGTCACCTGCCGACAGCAGGCTGCTGTCTTTTCCGTGGACTGCATCTTGCCGGTCATTATCATGTGACAGCGACTAGTCGATGACAGGCATAAAAAGTCACTATAGAGCGGTGAAGTCGACTAGTGACTAGTTCATACAACCCCTGCTACTGCTCCCCAGAGTGTTCTGCAGCATAATCAGCACGTTCTCTTTTAACTTGATATCAAATTTTCGCCTCCTCTTCATCTCCGCACGGTTAAAGTTACCCTCGTGGTCTATCACTGGCAAATCAAAAGTGAGACGGATGACACAACCGCCCCCCGTACTTGCTTGTTACCACATTCCACCCGGCCACAATAAAAAAACGGCCATTATTCACCTCCGCCGACTCCGGCCAAAATATGATACCCGGCAGTTAATTAAATACAGGCTATTATTAGAGGATTTACGGTATGTAAATTAGATTTCCCTACAAATGACTTGGACTGAAAACAACGGAGGACTTGATGGTCTCTCAGTTTTATTGGGTTTTAGAAACTCATGACAGTAACACACCAACATGATCCATCTGCTTTATGGGGCTCTCTCAGAATGTGAGGAGGACAATTAGGAGTCAAAACCAGCTATTTCATTGATCCAGCTTCTCCTCTGCTTTATCGGCCCTTTTTAGTGGTTGGTGCTCCCTTCAGCGCTGCTTAAACTCAAAAGGTGCTAATTCTAGCTGCATACTTGGAAGTGAAAACGAAGTTTTGATAAAACGTCGGCAGGTGTGGGTACTGATGGTTAATGAAATGATTGAAGTCCGTTTCAAGCACAGCACAAAACATGTAAGCACTTTGAAACGATTTCAAGCACCCACAGGAACCTTCACCCATGACTGGAAGATCTCATGCCAAAAAATATCCAATCACAAAGCTTAACTCATTCAATGCCATTGACTAAAGTCATCATTGGCTTTTATTTATTGCATGGTCGTCAGAACGAGCCCCCGCGCCGTGAGAACAAACAGCCCAGCTCTAAAGCCGATTTTCATCTGCGTACATCACACGTCACGTGATCAGGAAGCAGAAAATCCATGTGTTCGATCGTTTTGGGCTGCTGCTGTGAAAAAAGTGAGGCGCGAACCGGAAAAGCTTCTGCCGATCGACGATGGATTATGAAAGAACAGATAACGCTTGAAACGCGCTGATTCTTCGTGATGTAAGAGGTGAGTCTACTCTTTGTTTTGGTAGTTTTGTTGTTGACATCATCATCATAAAGCACAATGTTCTGACTCTTTAAAAAACTGTGAAATCGCTGAAAAGCGCTGGCAGCGAATGAGTTCATGTGAATGGATTGTTACTTTGACCCCCGATTCACACCGGGTGCATCTGCGGTGCGTTACGGCGGTGGCACGTATCTGACAAATAGAAGGTAGTCAATGGTTTGATTCACTGGTCACAGCACTGAACATTTCAGGCAGAAGCTTATCGCACTGCCACTAAAGATACAAGTTTTATTTTTGGTGCAACGCTAGTTAGCATAGGGCTAAACAGGTATTCACACATCTTAACGATACATTTCTAATTAAAAGACAAGTGCAGTGTTACGATTGCTTACAGCTACAATCACCCCTATCAGGAATTATGTAAGATTTTTTGAAAACCTGTAAAAGTGATAGACGCACCTTGTACTGTGTACTGTGATAGAATGTAAACAGCACAGCCTTTTTCTCTTTTCTCTTGCTAATCCCATCCACTGTCCTGTAGCGAATCATGTTCACCATTGGTCAATAGTGCTAGACGCCTGCTTACGTGCAGATGTCGATCACAAAGACTTAGACGGATGCGGAGCAGTCTACATGATAAAAGGCAGCAGAGCCTAGATTTCTTTGGATTAGGGCTGCACAATATATCGTAAATATATCGTTATCGCGATATTAGCATGCACAATATGGATATCGCAAAGAACAGGTAAATATCGCAATGAATGGTCAGCTTAAATGTTTGCTACACATAACACATTCCAGGGATTCCCCCAGTGCTTTATAAGCCTGGCGGCCCGCCAGGCTTTGCTTGGCCACCCGCCAGGCTAAGCGTCATGCCCCGCCCCCCTCCCCGACCCTACCGTGTCTGCTGACACGAACGGCGCAACGAAACTAGAGCTCTCCATCAGCTGATACTGGTGAGAAGTGAGAAACAGCAGCGGAACGCGTGCAACGTGTGCAAACCCCCCCCCCGGTTTGCTAAGTTTGATGGTTAGCAAACACCTGAGTTAGCTTTGTTCTGCTCCTTCTTCTTTTCGCTGGATCCCCTGATCGCCTTTTCTTGTTCATTTTCTTTTTCCCTTTCCTCACATCTTTTGCTTTTCTCATTTTTATGATTTTTTTTATTTCTTTGTTTTAGATTATTTTAGTTCCTGAGTTGTTTTTATTTATCGCAAGTAATATCGTCATTACAATACTAATCACTGTTATCGAATATCGCAGGTTTTCCTAATATCGTGTAGCCCTACTTTGGATCATGGTTCACTTTATGCATCTTATTTAGTTTACGCATCAACACGCAGACATTTGGTCTTAGTTTAGATAATTAATTTCTGTATTTAGATGTTTTCTTTAAAATGTCTTCAGAAATATTCAAGCGCCAATTTCTTCTCGATTATTAAAGTCATGAATTCATTCCACTGTGGACACAATACATGACTATATTTCTCTTTCCACAATTTATTTCATGGCTTTCAGTGCTTCCGAGGGTCTGGGGCCACCTCACATAATTACTGGCAATTCTGCTGTGAATCATTTGAATCCTGGAGGACCTGTAGCCAGTTCCTGTAGCACCACTAAAGTGTCCGGGAGATTTAACATGATTGAGACAGAAACACGTTGAAATATACAGTTAGGCTGACAAATGGGAAAAAAAGAAGGCTGGCGAACAGACGAGACAGAATAACAGATGGGTTCAAGACTGACAGGAAAGTGGAGGATCCTCACCCTGAATCCAGAGGAATTCTTCTTGGCTTCAGCTTTCAGCCGCGTTGCCTTTAACACAGACTTTGTTTTGTTATAGTCCTGTTTACCTGTAATAAAAAAAAGAAAACTTTAGAGTCTAATTTGTGTCATTTTCCCTCGTTTGAACCAAGCTACTGCACGGTGTAGCTTTTCACTTTTTTCATTAGAAATGAGAGCTTAATTCTCATTCTCAAATATGCAGAGAATCATATTTTTACACCAACATACTTAATTTTTGTATTTGCTACAACTCACAGAAGTTCTCTGTTTCTTAAAATGAGCGGTAAAGAAACTAAAGTAAGGAAAGAAATAATACACATTAAAAATAAAATGTCAGACAAAAATATGCTGCGAGTCACGACCTGCAGAAAGCAATGTCTTCCCTGGCATGAGCTGTACGCGGCTCACCTGGGCTTCCCGTGGGACACTCTAGAGGGCAATACCTGTGGGTACACCCGCCACCTGGCAAAGTGAGGGTGAGCGTGCTCAACACGAGGCAGAGCCGGCTGTCTCGGCCCAATTAGAAACAGAACACTGCAGCAAAAGGAGCGCTGAAAACAACAGGGTTAAGGGCAACAGCTTGCCGAACTGTGAGCGTGTTTGAGCTCTACAATCTTTGAGGCATTTATTTTTCTAACGGGAGAACAAAACTATGTCAGCAGTTTTTCCAGAACATTGTTCTGGTGCTGAAATATCACTAATGCGGATCAAAGGAGATACACAGATGAATGCACCTCTTATTTATCATTTGGAAATTAGTGGGTGTGGTTTACGTCAATACATTATTTTAAATCTGAAATTGATATGGATCGATCAGAAGTCGCTATGTGTGTTTATTTGAAAACTATTTACAGAGCAGCCTCAGAATTGAGATTAAATATTTTTGATCACAATAGTAAAGGAACTATTACAGAACAAGATTTTCAATAAAATCAGAACATTAATGTTTAAGTGCAAGAATTAATACTAGGGATGCACCGATGGATCGGCATTTGATCGTAATCGGCCGATAGCGCCCCTATCGGTTTTGATCGGAATTTTCAAAATAGATCAAAGCAAACCGATCAGGTAGGGTTGTCACGGTAACCAGTGTAGCGTAAACCCCAGTAAAAAAAAAAAGTTGACAATTATAATAACCGTCTTGTTTTTTAAAAAACTATAATATCTTGGTGGGTTTACCGTGGCTGCGGTGTAGGCGCGGTGACCCTTACCAGCCACCGTATCATTGGCTGAAGTTGCCAGTGTGCGCGCATTGTTTACAACAAAACTTTCTTGAAGCTAAAGCTGAAATAATGGTCAAAGGAGGAGACGGCAGCGCTCAGGACATTTATTATCCCTCAAAGAAGACCAAGTGGGAAGTACGGGCATCTTTTGGATATTTGAAGAATGCCGAGGGACAGTTGATAGAAGACGGCTATCCTGTTTGCAGCGCGAGCAGAAAAAGTGTCTGTGAAAGGCAGCAACGCTTCAAATCTCATGACACATCTGCGTGACCATCACCCACAACTCTACAGTCAACGCAAGGCAAGCTAACGTTAGCGTTTTAGCTAAAATGCGTGATCCGAGGATTTGGGTTGAGGGAGAATGCAACGAGTCGTTATATAAAGCAGCCGCAGCGCCACTACCTGCATATAAACCGTGTCATGGACACCGCCATGTTGAAATGACGCTATGCATTACGGGGCTCCCAGGGGCAGATAAGAGTCGGTCTCTCTCCGAGAATAATTATGAATTTAACAATGATTACTGCCTGATGACATTTTCCCACATCTGCAAAGCTCACTGGAAGGACACAAACCGAGGACAATACTTTCCTGATATAGGGTTTATTACTCAAGTAAGGGTAAAAAAGTATCTCATTAGAAGGCTACTGGAGTACTGAGTATCATCTGGTCTAATATATTTAAAATGATGACATCAAACAGACATAAAATAAGAAGTTATGGACAAATATTGGTATTTTAAAGGCTAAAGGGGAAAAATGTAAACAAATAAACAACATAATTACAAAATAACTAATTTTAGGCTAAATTTAGACACAAACTGAGGACAATATTTCCTGACATACAGGGTTTATTTAGTTGTGTGAAAATGTAGCACGTTTAAAAAAAATACCGCGATAATACCGAAAACCGTGGTAATTTTGGTCACAATAACCGTGAGGTTAAATTTTCACACCGTGACAGCCCTAATGCAGACCATTTTAGATTAGGTTACATTTCCTTTATTCCCAGATTATGTAGTTTGTAGCACTCGTTATAATGTTGTCGAAAATTTCTGGCCAATCCACGTGATCGTTATCGGTGATCGGTATCGGTGATCAGCATTCTTTGATATCGGTATCGGTGATCGGCAGCAAAAAACCTGATCGGTGCATCCCTAATTAATACATCTGAACTCATGCAGTAGGAACTAGGAAATATGAAATACTAGAACCAGATACAACTTTTATTTTTATTTGATTAAACTGATTTTTCCTAGCGCTTTTGGCATTTTTCCCACACAAAGTTAAACAAAACAATGTTGATTAAGGGGTGGGTGTGTGCGTGCGTGCGTGCGAGTGAGTGAGTGAGTGAGTGAGTGAGTGAGTGAGTGAGTGAGTGAGTGAGTGAGTGAGTGAGTGAGTGAGTGAGTGAGTGAGTGAGTGAGTGAGTGAGTGAGTGAGTGAGAGAGAGAGAGAGAGAGAGAGAGAGAGAGAGAGAGAGAGAGAGAGAGAGATAGAGAGAGTTAAAATAATTTTTTTAAAAACCCGACCGGAGCGGAGGCAGTGACCGACGCATGCACGAGCCGTTTTCAGCTCTGTCTTGTCAAATGCACCACGTACGTTACGAAAAAAGTTACTTTAAATTTTCAACCGAAAAAGAGGCGAGCTGAAGAAAACCTAAAAGTTCTGAAGAAACGTGAGCAACAGTGAAGCAAGCACAGAGAGATCTGTTACTGTGTGTGCGTGGATGGGCCGGACTGAGCTTCTGGCTGCAGATTTGTGTGGAGGGAGGGGCGGGCGCTCTATGTGACTGGCCAATCACAGAGTATGAAGGCAGTCAGTTACCCAATGAGGATTTTTCTTCAACACGATTACAGATATTTACGAGTTTTACTCGTTTCATGCTCGTATTCGTCAAAAATGCTTTATCCGTACCGGATACTCGTCTGAAACGAGTATCCGGCTCATCTCTAGCTGTAACCACCCTGTCCTGCCGCCGCCTCCTTGCTGCCTGCTGGCTGTGATCACAAGCAGCAACAGAGTAGTTCCCGCTGCTTCTTTGGGAAACAGCGCCAAAAAAAATGTTATATATATATACAACGGGATCTTGTAGGCGTGGCGCTGGGATTTCAGCCGTGGCGGGCGGCTACGGCTATGTAAGGGAAACACTGAATGAAAAAATTCATAAAAATGAGAAAAGCAAAAGATGTGAGGAAAGGGAAAAGAAAATGAACAAGAAAAGGCAATCAGTGGGTCCCGGGAACAGCAGAATCAGCAAAAGAGCAGAACAAAGCTAACTCAGGTGTTCGCTAACCTTCAAAATTAAGTGCCGTCCGCCTCGGGGTGGGCATCTAACCTATAAGAACCTACCCAATTGGCCAAATTGGTGAAGAGCTCTATTTGATTTGTTAAAAAAAAACATCATGCTTCCGTTTGACTGACAGAATGCGTTATGTGTAGCAAACATTTGAGCTGACCATTCATTGCGACATTTATCCGTTCTTTGCGATATGCATATTGTGCATGCTGATATCGCGATAATGATATATTTACGATATATTGTGGTGCAGCTCTAGGAAGCATAGAGGGAAGTGCACTAATAAATTGCATTAGAGTAGGGAAAGAAAAGAGCCAAGTCTAGAAGATGCTCTCTGAAAAGCTGGTTCTTCAAGAGCTTGTTAAAAATAAACAAGTATGCTTATTCCGGTAGTACCTCTACCATTGTGGATCATCAAAGGAAACTCTGAATGTTCTTGAGAGCGGTGTTGGCCCCGCTATCCCACAATCCTTCATTGAAATGTGTGATTGAGGCTGGACAAAAGCCTTTATGAGAAGATTCAAGTAGATGGGAGCCCTTCCATTCAGGATTTTGTAGGCCAACATCAGTGAGTTACATTTGATGCGAGTGGGTATGGGAAGCCATTGGAACTTAAACACGGGGGTGACGTATGTTGACTGAGGAATCAAATTTACGAACTTTAGTCAGACCCAAACGGAAGTTCTGATGCTGGGTGGTAAAGAAGCCCAGTTTGTTCTAGTTACACCTGAGTGCCCACGGTGCAAGCTGACCCAATTTGTGTTAGAGGGACTTAGGCGAGGATCAGGAACACTAACTGATTCCAGTTGGAAAACTGAAGAAGGATTTAGGAAAATCTGAGATTGTAACAAGGAACGAATGAAATGATATCTGAGCTGTGAACAGGTGAGCAGACCTAGCTTGTGAGGGAAGACCTGTGGTTACGCCTTCCTCGTTGCACACTGGTTGTTAGCGCTCGGATGTAAACATCTTACCCTTTTGCATTCGGTCAGATGATGACAGCTTCAGTAGACCTTATTGCTGAATTATAGTAACGGACCTTTAATGCATCAGTAACGAAAACAGCGTTGTGACGATAAAGAAAGTAATTAGTCTGGCTATACGTCACTGAAAAAATAAACCCCCTTTAGGAATGCTTTTATTTTTAATGTTGTTATAACAATCACTGCATTTCATAGAACTGGTGAGAACAATCAACTCTTTTTCTGGGAGTAATCCTTTTTCCTAGATGCCCCAAACAATCACAAAGCAGAATATCATGTTTCCATGTTGGTTTTCCTTGGAAGAAATGGCTGCTTTGCTGCCCTTTTGGACACCAGGCCATTCTCCAATACCAGTCAGCTGTTTGGCATGACAGTGAGCCGGTCCTTCTGCCGACTTCAACTTTAGGACACAACGTTGGTGCTTCCTGGACTTCCTTAGGCTTGGGAAGGACTCATTGAGATCCAAGACCTGGTTTTAAAGAGCATCCTGGCCAAGATGGACAGCAGCACGAAACACAGTCGCAGAAAAGTTTCACTGAAAATAAAAACAGTTTTTGGTGCAAA